CATTGCAATCTTACTCTCCCCTAGACTTCTGGCCCAAGCCCCACCTCCATTTCTGAGATAAGATCACCACACAGTGAGTAAAACTGCAAGCAGGTATCAAGGGCGTGCATTTCCCAAATACACTTTTCTTCAGAGAGAGTCATTGACCATTTTAGGAATATTTAAGACTTATAAAAATATATATTAGAGGAGAAGGTCAGTTTCACATTCTTTCCTTCAATATTTTTACACGTAACATCCTTCGTATCATGTATTTTATAGTTTTAAATTTTTTCTTTCATTGCCCTTTAGTGAGTGTCATATTCTCAACATATATATGCTTAGCAGGCTTAAAAAAGATAATTAAAAGGGATTTGGTTCCAGATGTTGACAAAATTCCATAAACGACGTCTTATCTATAATTGAAGGCATAAATTGGAAAACATTGAAAACATTTAACATGTATGATGCATGTTTGAGAAAAATGGAAAATACAAATAAAGAACTGTCACTAACTTTAAATAAAATTAAGCGATTCACTTTAATAATTACTTAATAATTTAATATTTGTTAAATATGATCAACTGTTAAAATGCTCGATTGTTAAGTGGAAAAAGTATCTCTGATTTTCATTTGCTGTTGAATAGCTTTACACTGTTGGCAGAAAGTCTTTTCCAACTCAGAAGGCAACTGGAGAAATTAGAGGAGCAATCTTCCAAAATGACATATGAAGGTGATCCCATTCCAATGCAAAGAACTCACCTACTAGAAAGAGTCACCTTCTTGATCTACAACCTTTTCAAGAAGTAAGTGAAGTCTTATCAACTAAATGCTTCATGGCATCCGCAGTTCTGTGAAGTTGTAAGAACACCCTGCCTGGGGTTTTGGTGTTTAGGTTAAAGAGTGGCAGGGAAGTATTAATCAATGAGCCTCAGGGACCCCAGAAAGTTTCAGAAACCACATTTCTATGCTTTGCTATTTACTCATCAATACATCTCCCACTAACTGACTCAGTTTTCCACAAACTAAACCACGTCACCCACCTACAGCTCAGTTTTCACATTTTAGAAAAGATTTTTTTCAAAGGTTTCTTCCTAAGTGCATATCCAAGAAATGAAGGATGGAGAATATTTTTTGTGTTTATAAGCTAGTCTAAAGAAAAAACTACCAAAATGTACCAGAAATCCTAATATTTAGTCCAAAAAATGGCATAAAATTTACTCCATATATAATATGATAAAAATTTTCCTGGAACTTTTGTTTATGACTCAATTATAACAATTAAGAATTATTTATTATTGTTACTTGGGCACAGTCTTTAGGCAATCTTTTCCTACCTCTTGGTAATTATTTATGAAAAGTCACTGGAAAAATTTGAGTTTAGTGGGGGTTTGAATGTCTTCTAAGTGTAGAAAATTTGGATCTTTTGAGAGGATAGCATCCTGTTCCTCTGTGGTTTTCAGCCTGTCAGTATTTTCAATGTTTTCAAATGACACGCTTTATTTCCTTTTCATCTAGCTCATTTGTGGTTGAGCGACAGCCCTGCATGCCAACCCACCCCCAGAGGCCGTTGGTACTTAAAACCCTCATTCAGTTCACTGTAAAACTAAGGTAGGCAGACGCCTTCTCTGGTTTCATATGTTTATGGAGCCACTGGGTAATCAAGGCTAGTTTCTCTCATTGCGCCTTACATTCGACTTTCTTTATTAAGCACCTGCTGTGTGCCCAGCACTAAGCTTTGGTAAAAACTCACAGAAATGTTAAGATGAGAGCCCTACTTGTCAGGAGTGTGACCATGCAAATGAGGACATGCGGGATATTAGCATGAAAGTATGGAATCATAATATCGGGCACAATATTCATTGCTGACAAGGTTGACTTGAGAAGAAGACTGGAGAAATTGGCAGAGGGCAGGAGGATCGTAGGAGAGCGAGACTACAGAAATAATGGCTTCCTGAGCCTGTTTTGTGATAGTGTGGAGCAGGAAGAGATAGAACTGAAAAAATAGATTGGGGACAGATTATGGAAATGTGATTACCCAGTAACTGGTTTAATGGATTTTCCACAAAAACTCTCAACACCACAATTTCCAGTACATCCTTACTAAGTACCTGATTTAAAGACACATGGCTTTTGTGTTATTGTTGCTTTGTTTTATCTCTGTGTTTGATCCTTTTCATTAGCCCAAGAAATCAAAACTTACAGTTTTCCCTACTGATGCTTGAAACAATGAATTTGAGTTCTTACTTTCAACCATTTTCATCATGCTTCAAACTTCAAAGCCTGAAGTTTTAAATTCCTAATTACTAGGTCACCTCTGGGAAGCTGAAACCACAGATTAATGCATCAAGGGGTAGTGATGCCATGGTAGAGAGCATTTTAGGGTCCTATGATAGAATCACATATCACTATTGGAACTCCATTTTTAAAGGGAAGGCATTTGTCTTCAGTTTGCATTTCAACAGCTCTTATTAAAACTCTTCATCAGTTTCTTTGTGTGAACTTTGCACCAAGATTTAAGAACTAAAAACAAAAGGCAGAGGCCAGGTTCTTTTTTGACATTTTATTCTTCTCAAAAGTTGCTCATTCCTCATTCCCACATCTCTATGCTACTCAGAGGACAGCAGCAATAAAGGGAAATAGGATGGAGAGGGGGTGGACATTCTGCCTCTCCTTTAGACATGCCTAATGATGATAAAGCAGGTCTAAGATGCTCTCTGGGACAAAAGGGGAAATGAGTAGGGATTGCTCAGCAAAACATTCTGAGTGGAAGTGGTTCCTGAATCGCCACCACCTTGCGTGTCGTTTGAACTGATTGGCAGGGACATAGACTATTAGACCCTGGCTGGCAGGTTCTGTCCTTCTCTTCCATCTAACTGTTGGATCCTCATCCTCCTCCGAACCCTGTTCCCCACTGTCTTGATAGATGATCCTTTACTCAAGGTAAAACCCCTCTCTACCATTTGCTTTCTCCTATTCAACAGGAGTGGTGACCTGGAACTCTAATATTAGTCTTCAGCATCTTACAATGAATCAGATGCTTCCTGAATAGGATACAAAGGGAAACATCTGACCTTATTTCACCTGACCACACCTACTCCTCACCACCCACTACCAAGGACTACAGGCTTAACATCTCCAAACCCTGAACCAATCTTATGCCTTGGAAAGGACATTTAAAGAGCCTCTGCTACACATTCTATCCACTCTTTTGTTTGGGCTATGATCTGTGATTTTATTTCTCTAATGCTCATCACCATACTTTCTATATTCCATCTGTTTGGCTGGCCTCCTTCCTTTTATGTGTAGCCACGTCCACATTTCTCCCTTCCCCAGTCTTTGCTCTGCCAGCTCCCTGTATCTAAGGCTGCTCTGGGTAGATAGGAGGAGCTCAGTACACGCTGAGTGAATGAGCGAAGGTTGGGATGAGTGCATGAGTAAATGAATGAGTGTGTGAGTGATCGGAGGATTATCTCCGAAACTGCACTGAACCCACAGAC